CTTTGCAATGGAAAAGTAAGCACCACCAAGGGTGAGTTTGACTCAGTGTCTGCAGGGTGAATCCTTCCCTCTGCTTCCACGAATTTTAAGTTTATATAATTGTAAAACCTAGTGTGAGTAGCACTGTAGAATGAGATCTAATTTGGGGGATTATCAAATTGTCCTGCTCCACAGTGGACACAGTAGGAGAACAGAGGCTATAAGGAAATCCTTCCACTCAGGACACATATTCTGAAGACTGTAGTAGGCAGATTGTAGTTACAGGCGGTGGCATAGGATACTATGTGGTCTGTGCCCTTGATGGTCATACCTGGCTCTGACCTAGGAGCCTGTAAACAGTGGCACATGTTTGCCATTATCCCGGACCATCCTTGATCTGGTTCTGTGTTTAGCAGGGGTATCATTTATATGTGTGAAGAATTGCTTCTGAGGCGATTCCCTGACACCTTGGAACAGTGCCCTCTACTGTGCCTGTGGGAACCATGCAATTTCAAATCCTGAGGGCAGTGCTCTGCTCTGGGAGTTAAAGCAAGCTGCTATGGAGGGCGGGGTGGGGTGTGGGGGGTAGGGTGGGGGTCGGCAGGAAAGCTAGCTGCGATGTTATGGGCAGAATTCAAGACACTGGGAGGCCAGCTGCTGGTACTGAGAGCCAGATTCTGCTACAGATATCCAGCAGGAGAAGCAGGACACGGTAGCCCGCAGCAGCGTAGGCCCCTGCACGTTTCTAGGCAGGTTCTGAGCCCTTGCTGCCTATGAATGCTCCTCTCCCAGTTCTCACTGCAGCTTAGAACTTCCCTTAGTTTTGCTCCTGAGCAGAAAGAATTTTTCAAACAGTGATTTTGACCATTGAATCTTGCCTTTAAAAGATTCTTGATTCTCTGTATTGTAAAACTAAAGGTTTTTAACCACTTTAAGGAAGCATAGTTAATATTTGTGATGAAAGAATCATACAAAGCCGCACTTCTTTGTCAAAAGTTTACAGCAATGGGGATCAGTATATATTATTTTTTTTTCTTCCCCTTCCCTCCCTCATATTCCTTTTTTTTTTTTTTTAAATAAAGGCATCCAAATTACAACAGAATCTCCCTCTCCAGTAATGAGTTACATGGTGGACACTTTTGCAGACTTTCTGTATCTTCTGGGATGTTGTTTTATTTCTTCTGGCTCTTTGTTTACTCTCTGAGCAGACAACTGTCCTTAGAATATTTCCCCTCAGGTATTGTCTTCTTAATGTAACCCCAAAGAATACAATCAACAGTACCTTTAAACAACAAAAGGGGAAAAACTGCATTTGCAGCTGGCATTAAGGATTTGCATCCTCTACAACAACTTCTGAACTGTTTTGTCAGCATTATTCTATTTAGCTACTGCAGAGAAAATACAGTTAGGAATAATGAAATATGCATGAAAGAAAAATTTTAAAAAGCTTTCTTAAAATAAAGAAACCACAATGTGTGAAAGTACTTTTTTTTGTTTGTTTTTAATGATTCTAAGTTTCAAATTCATGAGTTTAGAAAGTGGTCTTTGCTCTATCACGTGGCGGGATGGTGGTCCAGGGGAGCCAACCACACCTGTCTTGGCTCCTGCCACTGTTATAGGACAGGGAGAGGGGCAGCCCAAACCCCGCAAACCTGCCTATTCTAAATGGGTTCTGCCATCCGCCGCATCAACACAAAACATATGACACTTTAATGGGAAGGAACTTTAATAAAAACTAAGAAACAATACAGGTAAGGCAAAGAGTCTAGTTTCTAAATGAAGCACCCAAAGTTACCCGTCCCCTCGTGGGTAAAACTCCATCCATATGGGGTCGGCCCAGAGCAAGGCCCCAAAGCCTGCCACAAGTCTAAAACATCTTCCAGTGGGGACCCACAGAAAAGGGTCACAAACAACCGGACAAGCCCGGAAGGAAAAGAGCAAAATCAACATCCAGATAAAAGCTGCCATTGTCACCTCCCCACGGGTCTCACCCACATCTGTGTCACCCAGTCCACGACCAAAAGACAAGCGCAGTTTCTTCACGTGTCTCTAGGCTCCATGCGCCTCCTCCAGGTCTCCTGGCTCCATCCTGCTTCCTTCCTCAGTCTCTTCTGCAGCTTCTCCTCTTCCTGCTCAGCTCCACCCTCCCTTGGGTGGGGCAGGGAACCTCCCCCTTTCCTGGGGACCACCCTGTTGCACCACCAGTGAAGTCTAGCACAATGCAGCACTGGCCACACAGAGGAAGAAATGGCCTGATTCAAGGGATCCAGAATTCCACTGCCATTCAGTGCAGAAACAAGTGGTGTGCGAAGGGCAGATCTTTACTGACATGATGGATGGAAGAGATTTCCGTTAAGTGTGGAGAGTGAACAACTTGTTGAACTATGGTTGTTTGGGAATTACTCAAATAATTGCCAGCAGGAAGATATTTGGTTTTCTCTGAAGCCTGTGCTTAAGAATTTACCCATTCTAGGCAATTTACAGATTAATTTTTTTTGTATTTCTGTTTAATGCGTAGAGATGATTTTAATTTTTCAGTAAAGAATGACTCTGCTGACCCACGGTCAGCTTGTTTTGTGGTTGGCATGTCATTCTCTCTCCCAGACTGCATAATCTGTGGCTATGATGTCACTTCCTATTGGATATAAGCGTGGGAATCACTCCTTTTTCCAATTTTTTTTTTGTAGGACTCATTTATGCGTGTGCTGCATCTATCTGTCCTCTAACTTCCCAAGGGCAGATGTTGTATCTTCATCTCTATCTCTCCCAAACTACACATAATGTTAGGAATTTAAAAACTGTATTTTTCTCTTCTGTTCTTGAATTCTGAACAATATGAACTTACCACTCTAAGCGATAATTACCTTAAAATGTAGATGCTTAAACAGACTAGTTGATATAGCTTAGAAAATCCAGGCTTGACCATAGAAAAGAATGACAGATCAGACCTGCCTTTTAGTAAACTAATATTTCTCTACTCCAGGGGCAGAAGTTCCAGAAAAGCCTGGAAAGTGCCTGTAAGGGAAGGTGTGGCCCTTGGAGTGTATCATTGGCCCTTATGTTTCTAGAGTCTTCAGAAGGAAGGATTCCTGAGCTCCAGAGGGATGGTCCTCTGAAGTAGGCTGATTTCCCAGACTAAAGGGCTTCCTGAAGAGACAAGGGTGAGGGTGGAAGAAACTAGAATCAATCCTGATCCTCTAGGAAACTGAACACAAAACAGAGGGCTGGGGATGTGAAAGGATGGAGAGATGTACCTTGAACTCTGGCACTGGAACCCGAATTAGGGGGAGTTCTTGGCTCTATAAAGAATGAGACCCACATGCCTTAGCAAAATACACAATGTCAATAGGATTTTGGACTTCATGTACACTAACCATATGTTTTAGTTTGCTGAAATTGTCCTGTCTGATTTCTGTTGTTCTGGCATACTTATTAATAGAATATTTTTCTATTATCAGATGTGTCCCAATTTGGATAATTATTTGTTCAACCCAGCTAGGTTTAATTTTCAACAGTGACATCGTGTGGCCTCAAGAAGGAATGACAGGGACCAAGGAGTCTGATTTCTTTTCCATTTGGTGTGGAAGCTGGGATGACCCCTCCTTGCTCTTAGAATTCAGAGCTGAAAAGGCTCCTGACAATGGAGGGGAGAGGGAGAGAGTTAAGAGAGAATTGGACTGCATATTCTTAATAAGGCCTGCGGATGCTTCAGCAAAGAATCGGAAAAATAAGAGGTTTGACTGTTGTGAGGTTACCCAGAGTTTGTGAGCAGTTTGTCAGTCAAATGCTATTTACTTTAAAATTCTTGCTTTTGCCCCAGAGAAGACCTGGTTATTGACATGGTTCTTATGGTGTGTTCTTTGCAGTAGCTTTCTAAAACTCTCACTGCATGATCTTTAGAAATTATAATTTTTATTGGTAGGAAGGTACATGAAGTGAGCTATAGTTTTAAGAGTTTAATGGGCCGTTTATGTGTAGAACTAAAATGAGTGATTTCGTGTATGTCTGCTTTTGCCTGTTCACTGTCCGTTACTCCTTCTTTGGGAATTAAGCACTCTTCTCTGGGGAAAAACATGCCTTATACTTTAGATGGGCTCGCTCCCTGTCTCTGTCTTGATCCCTTATCTCCACTATCCCTTAAAAAAGGTTAAACATTAGGTCTGAGAATTCATGCTTGACCAATCATCCCTTCGGCCACACTAATTGAGGGATATTTAGCCAGCTGACCCCAGCTAAGCCAGCTCCTCTGGACGTATTGCTGGAGCTGTTGCAAAGAGTATTTCATTCTACTGATTATTGAGCTGGTAGTAAGGAATCTGGGCTGTTGGTAGCTACTTGCCACTAAAAAAATGCCCATTCTGGGCCTCCCTGGTGGTGCAGCAGTTGAGCGCTGGGTTGCGAAGCTGCCCGCAGCCTCTGCGGCGCCGGTTCGATCCCCGGCTGTTCCCCGGCCACCGGAGGGAGGATCCCACATGGCGCGCAGACCTTCCTGCTGCCCGCTGCTCTCCTCAGCGGTGTACTTCGGTCCTTCTGCCTGCTCTGCTCCCCGCTCTGGCTCTGGTGAATTCTCTCACTCTCTCACGCTTCTCACTGTACCCAGTGCTTGTATAAATAAATAAATAAATCTTTAAAAAAAATGCCCATTCAAAGAGAGAAGAGAAAGGAGAAGAGAGGAGCTGGAAGAAGAGGTGGAGGTTGGGAAGGGAAAGAGAGAATCTTCAAGAATCTCCAATGACATTTTTTTTTAGGTTTCTGCATTTAGCCATGCTTGAAACCACAGATTTTAAGTTCTATGACGAAATAGTTTTTTTTTCTTCTGTAAGTTTATAAATTAGCTTAAGCTTAAGGTCACCTGCAAGCAGGGAGTTCTAATATAAGTAGTGAGCAATCTTCCACATGGCAGAGATCCAGTCTCTGAGATCTTTAAGATTCACTAAGAAGCAATCATTTTAAAGTTTGCTTATCATATATAACATTATTTCAAAAATGACCAAGTGCTTTTTTAAAACTATCTGGTACTACTGAGCTTTTCCATATAGTCAGAGAAATTTATTGACAGAGCTCTTTGCTGGGCAAGGTCAATTTCGTAAAGAACCTGGGGAAGGAAGATAATCAAGTAGGCAAATCTCAAGGGAAAAACTGAAGAGGACTTCTTCCATCCAGCAGATAGTTCCAGCATGGAGTCTGCAGACTCAGATGCCACTTGCCTTCTTTTGTTCAAGGACATTTCTTGAGGATCAGTGGGGTAATATGTCCTCTGTCTCAAGTGTCAGAGATGGAAAGAGGAGGCATCGGAGCTTCCACATGATGTCCCTGCTCAGTAACTTGGGCAGTACATTGATAAGGAGGTCTGGATTTATAAAAGTTATATGGAAAATCAAGTAGCCCAGCAGTTTCAGGGAAAACAGTGTGGTAAAAAAGAAATATCGAAAAATCCTGAAAAGGGAAAAAAACCCAAGAAACTGTTAACCAGAGTTTAGAAAACTTGGAACAAAATAACAATTTATACCCAAATGCATGTCTGGCTCCTTGATATTCACACAATTCACTAATTGTCTCTCCTCCCACAGGGCCTTATGAAGGAGGCCCCTTCCTACATGCTGACCTGCCAGCTACTCTCCGCCCATCACTGCATTAATTTTCCTTCAGCATTTATCCCTATTTGAAATGATCTTGTTCCTTTACCTTTTTTGTCTTGAAAAACTGTTTTTCACAATAATTGCATTAATTTATACCCCACAAGCCGGGTACAGGTTGCATAGCTTCAAATCCACTTGAGCACTGGATACTAGATTTTTAAAGTTTTGTCAATAAAATGAATGTGAAGTTATATTTCATTGTGGTCTTGGTGTACATTTCCCTGATGAACAGTGACGGTGAACATCTGTTCATAGGTTTATTGACTTTGTGTGTCTCCTCTTGACTATTTATCTATGAGGTTATTGGGTTTTTCCATTGACTAGTAGGAGTTCTTTGTGTGTTCTTGATACGATCCTTTCCTACTACGTGTGTTTTGATTATCTTCCCTCAAGTTTTTAACTTTCATTTGCTCTAAGGTGTGAAAGAGCAAAAGTTGTTAAATTTTAATAGTCTAGCAACCTTTAATTAGAATAAATGCTTTTCTGCTTCTTGTCTAAAAATTACTGCCTTTATTCCAACACCCAAAAGATACTCATTTCTTAAGAGAAAATATGAATTTTGAAATATGCTAACAAATTCTTTGATACTCTTCCCTTCCTTCAAAAGATTCCCCTTTAGACTTGATTGCTTGCCTCTAAATAAATAGAACATCGTGGAAATGATAGTACGTGATTCCCTAGACCATATCCTAAAGGCATTGTGGCTTCCTCCTTACTCTCAGGATGTTGTGAGGACATCCAAACATCCCTTTGACGAAGTTCAGGCATTAGGAGCTGTGCTCTGATAACTCTACTTAGGCCCGCATCTTAACTGGACCTTCATAGTAGACACTGAGCTAAGCTGCTTTTGAATTTCTGCCGCATAGAAACCATGGGATGATGTTTAATGTTTAACTTTTTAAAATTTAAATATATATAATATATACTTTTTACATCATTATTCATTTTTGTATAATGTTTGATTTTTTCCCCTCAGGTGCAGTCCTCATAAAATTCCCACCACCAAGTCACCGTGAATTGTTACCATAGTCTCTTGTGATTTTCCCTCCTCTTTTGTTCCTTCTACCTCCCTTCCTCTACTGTATGTCTCCAACTTATAGTTTGCCTGCTAGTTTTGTCTCTCTTTTTTTCTTCCCTGCCCTTTGTTTGTAAACCAAAGGAGGTTATATATATATATATATTATATATATATATAAAAAACTATATATATAGCAATCAAACATTGTACAAAAACAATGATGTAAGTTTTTACATCATTTGTTATATATATGTTTTAATATATATATAACAAATGATGTAAAAACTTACATCATTGTTTGTTTTTGTACAATGTTTGATTTCTTTTAAGATTTTTATATTTTTCACATTTAGGTCCTTAACACATCTAAGCTTGCTTTTTGTTTATCTCTGTCTCATTTTTTTTCTGATGCCCTCTATCTAATCTCACTGTTTTCCCTGCTGTGGTTTTTGAGCAATTCTTTCTTTCCTCTCTGACATAAAATCGCTGTCACCTACCAAACTTCTATATGTGCACTATTTTGGGACTCTGTTCCAGTCCATGGATTGATTTTCCTGTTTCTACCAGTACTGCCCTATTATAATTACTGTAGCTTCATGGTAAATCCTGACATCTGGAAGGGCATGTTTTCTACTTCTTGTTTTTCTTTAAAATTGTCCAGGTTATTCTTGACCTTTTAACTCTTTGATATAGAGCACATTTTAGAGTCATTTTAATTCAACTCCATGAAAAGTATTTGGGGAGTTTGATTAGAATTGAATTGATTCTGTTAATCACTTGAAGATAATTGATATATCAGTGATATGAAGGCTTCCTATCTGTGCTCATGATATTTCTTTTCTTTCATATTATCATTAATACTTTCTAATAAATTCCTAGAATTTCCTTACAGTCATCTTGATTTCTTCTTTAACTGATGATTTATTTTTTTCCCTGTGGCTTTTATGTGATTTGTATGAGCAAATTTCTACTGTTTCCCTTCCTATATTACATGTATCCAACTCTTCTGGGCAATCTTCTGCCCCGGGACAAATTCACTGTCAACCTATATTTATTAGTCAAAAAAAAACCTCTTCACTAATTTTCTTAAGTTTTCTTCTAGAGTTGATGTTGGGACTGGAGCCAAGAACCATTCTAGTATAGCATCTTGGGCAGAATTAAATCAGAAGCCCTTCATAGACCTCTTCCCATCTGGGAGGACATTCCTGGGGAAAATCTTATGAGTAACTTGGCTTTCTTATCTCTTGAATCAGAGAGAAGTGAGATAAGAGAGCGATATGTCCGGTATACAATGTCCTATAGGAAGTTGAAACAGAAAAAGAAAGACATTTGCAGTTTAATGTGATGAGCTAGACTGCAGACTGTATTTGTCTTCAGTATACTAACTCTCTTTGAGGCAGATCATCTTTTTTATAAATTTTTATTTTAATTTTTGGGGTTACATTTTGCTCTTCCATATGTGTATGTTTCTGCTCACCCTCTATCAAACCACCCATTAAGGCAGACAGTTCTAATCCCAGGATTCTACATGGACAAATCCATGTTGAGCACTGGTATTAAAGTAGAGGTGAAGGCAGCCTAGGAGTTCTGGGGAAAATCCTGCTAGTTGTTTAATGGCTATTGTATTAAACAATATCAAAACATGTACTACTTCATTTATATGATATGAAGGGATATCCCCCTTAGGCAAATATTCCAGACAATTGAAACTGACCTTTAAGCACCAATAATTTTATATTAATAATTTTGATGGAATTCTTTCTCAATCATATTTCATACCTCTTTGAATATATATTTCTCTATGCCTTTTTAAACAGAATTACATTGAATATAATTTGACCTTTTCTTGAAAATGCAGGGACTTCATGAATACCAATTTTACTTTGCTATTATAGTGATTCCCTCAGGACTAATATCCATTTTGTTGTTGGAATCTTGAGTTCTTATTCAGTTTAACAAGTAGTTTTTAGTAATTATGTGCTGGATACTGTTAGGTACCATCATCTTTTTTTCTTCATAGTCATTCTCTCCCTGATATTTGTCTATTGTTAGGCAGTGGTATATTTGCACTTAGAAGTCCTCACCTATTTATTTTATTGTTTTTTAGTTCAGACAGGTAATGTGCTGATGTTTTACCAAGGTTGGTAAGCTCATTTAAAGTGTTAAAGGGAGAGATCAAATATTGTACAAAAATGAACAATGATGTAAGAAAATAAAAAAAAAATTAAAACATGGAAAAATTTAAGGTATGAATGGGAAAGGAAGTAAGTATGAGATTTACCACATCTCTTGTAGGTGATGATTCCTATTTCTGATTAGTTTCAGGTCATTGGCTTCTAATACTGGAAAGCTGAGATTAAAGTTCTAACATTACAACTGAGATGTGTAGTCAATGATGGTTCTAGTTTGTTGACTGTGTGTGTATGTATGTGTTTGTGTGAGTGTGTGTGTATAAGGTTCTCCTTGTCTATATTTTGCTAACTGCTAAGGTGCCTGAGTAGAACTCACAGCTTTGTTTACCTTTTATAGAACAGTGCTATCTTCTTCAGGAAAGAAGTATTCTGGGAGAAGAATGACATTGATAAATAAACAATTTCTGAAGCTGTCATCACTATCCAATAATATATGGTGAGCCAATCATTAGAAGCTTATTTTGCTAACATTATTAGTAAATAATTTTCAATATAACTTTATAATTACATAACAATTCTTATTAAAATATTATATTACATTATATTATATTCCCAAGGTCATAGCTAGTAACTGGCAGGGTGAGACCTAAGTCTGGGTGCTCTGAATCTACATTCTGGACGCTCTCAATCTTATCTTTATCTGCTACTGAGCCAGTGACCTTTAAGAAGTTTACAGTCTATGAAAACTACATAAGCATATTCTAAGTTTTAATAATCATAAAAATGTAGAGATGAGGCTGTATCCCGGATTTCTGTGGCATGTATCTTCCAAAGCAATTTTTCAATTATTTCATTTTCCTTTAACCTCCTTGTGAGAGAAAAAGGAAGAGAAATTATGATTATATTTTAGAACTGTGGAAATGAGGTTCACAAAATTGGAATTAGAAACTTTCTGGATTACAAATTTGGTCTTATAGCTTGAATGAACAACTAGCCAGTTGCTTAGGCAGCTTCTTTATAAAAGTTGCTCAAACATCATAGGTCACTGAACCATCATGAAACTGATAATATTGAGGAAGACATCTCTGGATTTTCTCTGATAGCTGTTCAAAAGGATTACTTTGATGAGTCACTGAGAATAGATGTTGGCGGCATATCAGGAAGCATGCCTGATTCTAGAGAGATAGACTCCAGTTAATTTCAGTTTTGTTTGCTGAGTGAATTATGCAAGAGTAGGGCTAGAATATCATGCTCAGGACAATAGGAACCATGGGGACTATGATGTCCCCATTGCAAGAACAATGGTCAATTGTTACTTGCTTTTAAGGAAGAGAGGATTTCTCTCTTCTAAGATTATGAAGACCGTTTATCTCAATAACATAAAATTTCTGGTGAATGTCAACTTTAACTCTAAAAGCCAATATAATTGCAAAATTACAGCCCCCCCCCAAATGTATTCTTTAGTTCTATGTTGTTGTCATGAGATGCCAAGAAGTCAAGAGGCCTGGTGCTGTACATCCAGTTCTGTTTCCTTCAGACCTTTGCATATGTGCTTGTGATGTCATGATCGAATATGAACCAATACTGAAGCTGTAGCATAAAGCAGCAGTGGCTTCATATCTTTTAGCTCATGGACTGATTCTGATGAGATGGTGATAGATTTCCCTGATCTGTGTCAGGAAAAATGTGAGACCATGTTGGGATCATCAGGAAAGAGTTCTGTGACTGCAGAAGATGGGAGGAGAGATGTTCATGAACTTTGGCCTCCTCTCGAAAGAGTGAAACCTCTGTTAATGTTCCTTCTTGCTTCTATTTTTGAAATCTTTTACGCTTGAGGCCAGACCTCTTTGGGAACATGTTATATGCATGACTGTAAGACAGGGAAGACAGTTGTTTCTAATTGTCCTTTTTGTTTGTTTGGGGTAGGTATACTTCGGAAGTATATCGAGTAATATTTTAGAAAATGCACATGGAGGGTTGGTGTATGCTCGGTAGCTTATAGTTTTTTGAAACTTCTTTTGAAAAGCAATGCCACTGAGTGACTTGAAGGATGGAGTGCTGACCTTGTTATTTTGACTTTTACAGCTATTTCTTGCAGAATCCATGCTTATGACTTTTGATCTAGAGGGAGAGGAACCAAGATAGGAATTGAATAAACTGTTCTCAAATATACATACTGTCTAAAAATAGCTTTATTTTTCTAAAGCTATGCTGTCCACTGTTGTAGCCAACAACTACAAGTAAGTATGGTCAAAATTAATAAAAATAAAAGTCTGTTTTTTAGTCATATTAACTATGTATGCTTAGTGACTACCCATTGGACAACACAGAAACTTCTATGGGAAGCCCTGTTGTAGAATCTCAGTTGAGCAGTCAAACCATACCTATATACGAAAGATCTGGGGGAACTTGAAAGTACTATTTTGGGGTGAGAACCTCCAAGTTCTGGTACCCTTGCCCCCTGGGCCACAAAATATACATAACCCTAATGTAGAGGCTGTACACAGTTTGGGTCTCTTGTTCTTGATTACATGATTTCAAGATAGTTAATACATTGAAATTTATCTTGACTAAATTGAGATTTAATTTATAAATAGGGACAAGAAATGGAAGTGAAGTTTCTCACCATTTAGACTATGACAAACTCAGAGTATTTTGGGGGGACTTCCCTCTTATTTATCACTTTTAATTTTCAATGTTTATGGTTCAATACAATATACAGTTCTGAGTTTCTTAATATAGTTGCTTTCATGTGTGTCTGGAGGTTAGTTTGATGCCTATCAAATAGGTTTAAATTTCTATATATTAGGGGTATTTGTTTTAAGGCCTTTCCTGGGAAATAGAAGGAATATTGTACTTATCAAAGGTGCCTGGCCACCAACTCCTTTTAAAGCACATGTTCCTCCTCTCAATATAAATTTGAGTGATTGATAGTGTGATAAAATTCTGAGGGAAGATCTGTTTCGGCAGTCTTTTCAGAAGGACTGGATGAGGACCTGGATTTTAAATTTGGTATGGTTGAGTGGGGGTGAGTCAGAACACAAAGAGGGGAAAGCAATGTAGTGGGGGAGCACACTCAATTCCAGATAGGAACAGGTCAGAGGAATGTTTACTCTGACCCAGGCTGAGATAGAGTTACCACTAAAACCAGGATGTTCCTTGTTTGCCAAAGCTCACACTTCTCTCTCAAGGAACCGAGTCTCTAGTTCTTCTTCTATTTTCCGCAAAGTTTCCTGGTACTTCTTCAAGAGAAATAGAAAACTCACAGTCACCAGTCAGAAGCTCTGTGCTTTTTCTAAACATAATAAGCATGTTTTAAATTACATTTTAACATGAAAGTTTATTATTCCCACTTTCATCTATTTTTCTATTTCTAGCCCCCTACCCACCACTATTCATTCCTCCCTATGCTTCATGGACAGGACGCTAGGGCAGCTGGAGTCATTCATAGGTAAGTGGCCATTATTAATTTAAGAGCACAGAATTTTGGGGAGACCAGGTAGTAATAGAATGATAGGGTGGTGGAGTGCTGACACCCTAAAATCTCTTTGAAGAATTAAAATAGCTCTAGACAGAATTCTTTGAAAAGTGGTTCCATTTCATCCTGCACCCTTGCAAATGTTTTGCTACGTGAGGAGTGGTACCTTTATGCAGAGAGCCTGATCTTCACAGAGCTGAGCCACAAAAGCATAGTCTTCCATTACCTAGGAAGCCAAAATTCCATCATAAATTTCTCAGTAAATTGCTGTAAGAGCATCAGTCTACTTATTTTGTCCTACTTCCAGACCCTAAATGTGATTTTCAAGTAGTTCTCAGTATGTTTTTGCTGTATACATATGAACTTACTTCCTTTTTTTAGATAAACAAGCCACAATTTATAGCCAACGAGGGATCATTTGAAGGCAGTCAGGAGAAGAATAGATACTAACTTGTGGAAAACATAGATTATACAATGTATCCTTTAAAAATATGTTACAGAAGGCAAAATAAGGGACATCTTCTGTTTCTTCATCCCCAACTTGGCCTCATAATGGTCCTGGATCTGGAGCCTTAGAACTCAATCATTTGAGAAACATATTAGATTGATCAAGGAGTAAGTTTCCTTTCCTTTGGGAGAAATGGCATTGATGTTACTGTCCTTCCTTACCTTGGCCAGCTGCTTCTCCTGGTCTGCACAAGAAGCTTCCAACTGTTTTAACTTAACCTATAAGAGGGAAGAAGACTGATAACTCAAGTTGAAAACCATATAGATTCTGTTCTGAAATTCACTCTCAAAGGTACATCAGGTATGACTTCAGATGTCTTTTTGATGGAGAAATCAAACCATCCAGGGCCTCCCCTGGTGGCGCAGTGGTTGAGCGCTGGGCTGTGAAGCTCCCCGCAGCCTCTGCAGCACCAGTTCGATCCCTGGCCCGCCAGCGAGGGTCCCACATGGCGCGAGAGACCTCTCCTGCCGCCCACTGCTCCCCTCAGCAGTGTGTTTCGTCGGTCTGCCTGTTCTGTTCCCCGCTCTGTCTCTGGTGAATCCTCTCACCCTCCCGCGCTTCTGACTGTATAAATAAATAAATCTTTTAAAAAATTTATAAGAAATCAAACCATCCACTGTCCTTTGCAGCAGCTTGTTGCATCTGTTCTACATGCTCAGCACCTTTCTTTCATAGGTGTTCCCTTCACTACTGAATTTCAATTCTGAGCTTCCTTATTAATTCTTTTAGAAAGATATCATTCTTGAAAAACTTCATGCTTCCTTTTCCTTTTATATATTCACTCTTTACTCCTTTCTCTCTCCTTGTTTTCCTTCTTTCCTCTTTCTCTCCTTAAATATCTCATGAAATCTTATTCTAGGGCCTCCCCGGTGGCGCAGCAGTTGAGCGCTGGGTTGTGAAGCTGCCCGCAGCCTCTGCAGCACCCGTTCGATCCCAGGCTGCTCCCCGGCCATCGGAGGAGGGTCCCACATGGCGCGCAGACCTCTCCTGCCGCCTGCTGCTCCCCTCAGCAGTGTACTTCGTCAGTCTGTCTGCTCTTCTCCCCGCTCTGGCTCTGGTGAATTCTCTCACCCTCCCGCGCTTCTGACTGTGCCCAGTGCTTGTATAAACAAACAAACAAATAAATGAATAAAATACATGCCTCTTAAAAAAAAAAAAAGAAATCTTATTCTACATTGGCCAACATACTGGAGTGATGAGGTGGGAGGAGTGTGGGGGATACAACGCTGAACAGGACTGATAAGCTTTCTGCTTCAGAGCACTGACATTCTACTTGTGGGACATAAAAAATAAGTTGACATGGTGTAGGGTAAGGAAAAATATCAGGCTTTTCTGCCCTCCCACCATCAGGATAGATGAGGGAACCCTGTGATCCTGAATGCATGCCTAATGGCGGCCACCTGAAGTGGGTACACCTGCACTAAGACTGTGCTTTTTAAGGGCGGCGTTACGGGGATGGCAATAGCAGCCAAGAAGCCGAAAAGAAGCCGAGAGAGAAGCAAAGAAGCAGAAGCAGAGAGCCCAGAGAGAGTGTGGATTTGCTGGGGGCTGGGAGGACTGCCAGCCTCCCAGCCCCCCAGCACCCCTGCCTGCCATGTACCTGCTGAACCCCAATAAAAACCTGCAAAAAGCCACTGAGGACTCTGACTCCTCCTTTACCCGGTCTGCATGGGATCAGAAAACCTGCTCTGTGTCCTGTTCCTGACCTTACACATGGTGAAGATAGAGCTACGATAGGAATAAAAACAGAATAAAGTGATGAGTGCGTGATGGTGTAGGTCTCTCTGATGAGATGATAATTGGGCTGAAACCCAAGTCAAAAATATTAGTCAATAGGCGATCTGCAAGAAACATATCCCATGCAGAGGTTACACAAGGACCAAGCTGTGAAGTAGCAAATTTGGGGTCTATGAAGAAGTTACATGGCCAGAGCTTAGGGGAGACTGGTAGAAGGAGATGAGCTGAGGAAAAGTAGACCGATGAAATTATATGGGTTCTTATAATATCTAGAAAGAGTCCGATTTTCATTCTCATTGCAGTGTGAGAAGCCAGGAGAGAACTTCAAGTAGTAAAGATACTATCTGATTTGTGTGAGGAAGAGTCTTTGCTAAGTGTGGGAAGTAAATTGTTAGGGAGTAAAATTAGAAGCAGGAAGACTAGTTAGGAGGCTCCTTGAGCATCCAGGTGAGAGGTACTGGAGGGCTGCAGGAGGGTAGCAGTAACAGTGCAACAGGTGGAGAGGAATGGGTGCATTCGGGATATATTCTGCAGCATCTTTCCTTCCTTTTCAGCTCTATTGTCTGCACTTTCATCTCTGTCCCATCATTTCACATCTGGACTCTTTCAAAACTGTTCTTTGCCCCTCTAGTCAGTTACACCTGAGACCAGAGAGGCAAACGCGTTTAGACATAAGTTTCAAGACAATGCTCTTAGTTACAAGGAATTGAAGCAGACAACCACTAGACTGACCTGATCACCAGTGTGTGAGAGGTACAGAAGCAAAAAGAGGTGCTGCTTATTTCACAGAACTAGAGATACCATCTGAGCGTTCTACAGAACAGGTGGGTGAACAGATGATTTTAAGGTGATACCCTGGAATTCTTGAGGGCTGGGTTGATTGCTGCCAGGATGACAAAAACCTCAAAGATTATCTGTCATTTATCATCTCAGCTCACTTGATGCTAGCCAGGATAGCTACGCTTAAAGTTTTATCTCTAGATTCTGATGGGGTTTCTGTCATGAAAAGCTATTCTGGGCAGAAGAAGGGATCTTGGAAGAAAGTCAGTCTGCTGGCTGCTGGTATTATATGGCAAAGATAGTCAAGGGGCTTCATACCCATTTCTAGTCTTACTGCAGTTTCTTCTCAATGTCCCTGCAGGCTCCAGGTTTTTTTTTCTTTCCAGCAATGTTTCCTGGCTGAGCATGACCAAATAAGCTTACTTGGTGTGGTCAGACTACAGGGCTTTTCTGCCCTCCCACCATCAGGAGAGATGATGGAACCCAGTGGTCCCGAATGCATGCCTGATGGCGGGCACCTGGAGTAGGGTGTGGGCATAGGTAGATGGGATTCACCTGGGCTAAGACTGGGCTTTTAAGGGCGGCGTCATGGGGATGCCAACAGAAGCAGAGAAGCAGAAGCAGAACCATGAGAGAGCAGAGCAGCAGAGATCACCAGAGAATGCTGGAGAGCCCAGACAGAATGAAGGCTTGCTGGGGGCTGGGAGGCCTCCCAGCCTGCCAGCCTCCCAGCCCCCAGTACCCCTGCCTGCTGTGTGCCTGGTAAATCCCAATAAAAGCCTGCAAATGCCACTGAGAGCTCCAGGACTCTCCTCCTTTACCCCGTCTGCTCGGGTCATAGAAAACCTGCTCTGTGCCCATTCCTGTCCCTACACCAGCACTAACTAGGTCAGCAGAAGGTAGAGGAGTAATTCTCTATTCTTTTATTTTTCTATTTCTCTCTCATTGTGTCCATATCTTCAGTGACTTCATACTCAAAGTAAAGTGTGGGTTCAAGAAGTTAGGGAGAAATGAGGTAAGACAAGGACAAAGATGTGTTCTATGGAAAAGACCAAATGAGAATGTTATCTGCTCTCTAGTTAAAAAAATAAGTCTGATTCTTCTTTTATCTGATGGTTCATGAGAGAATCCAGGTTCTTAGTTCTAGAACACAACTGGAGAAGTGCAAAGTACTGTATGAGGTGCTTAGAGGTAGAAGTCACTGAATATTAGAATGATGAGCTGAGTTTTTTCCTAGATTGGAATTAAAGGTATAGTATGTAAATTGCTTAGCATATCATCACCTAGTTCCACCTCTGTGAATTCATACATGCACCTCAGCCAGACTTTAAAATAATCCCTTTAAAATTATTTTTCCCTTTAAAAAGGAAAAAAATTGTTTAATATGTACAATTTCATTCAGTTCTCAAGCTAAGTTTGGGAAGGATTGATTAAATTGCCCAAATTAAAATGGATGAAACAGTGCCGGGGCTGGGATTTCAACTAGGGATTCAGCTGCCTCCATTGTTACGTGTATATTTATGCATTTGTGTTCTGTTCTTCCTCATGGAAGAATGAGCAAAATACATGGCTTCAGAACAAAATTCTTTCCTAAGGACAGAGGAGAATTCATCACTCAGTGACCTAGGCTTAAGCCTGACATGGGCTAAATTTATGAAGAATTGATCCTAATTTTGACAGTTTTTGTCAACAAAAACCCAAACTCATTCAAGGCTGCTATTTTGTTTACCTTTGACTCTTCTGGGGTTCCTTTTAGACTGCTTTGTTCATACTTGATTGTCTTTTGTGATTTGCTTGTGAGCTATAGTTTCAAATAAAAAATACATCAAATAAAAATTACAGACACAAAGTTATTCTCTACTATATAAGGACCAATAGCTTGACCTTGATAAACAGCTGCCCGGAGACAGCTCCTTGAAGGGTACTTGGTGCCCTTGGAAACATCTTTATTCTACCTTCATTGTCTTTTCACTAGTGTTGGCCACCAAAGCTATTGTAGAGTCTGCTCAAAGCAGAAGTATATCCCCGAACCCCTAGTCCATATTGGGTTACTCAGGGCTGCAGGCTTGGGTTAGAAAGTAGGGCAATATAGGTCATTTGCTGTCCTCTGAGCAGGAGTTGAGGTAGGGGAAAGGCCTCGGCAAGAAAAAGGGAATCCTTGGGAAATAAGCATTTTTTTTTTTTTTGCATTTCATATATTTTCTTTTATTATTTTTTAATTTTATATATTTTTACATCATTTTTCATTTTTGCACAATGTATGCATTGTCATCTTGGTTACAGTCCCCATACAATTCCCACCCCCTTACGTTGATCCTCCTCCCTGCTCCACCCACCCTGGCCCCGTGTGTCTCTGGTTTATAGTTGCTTGTGGAAATAAGCATTTTTTTGTATGAAAGTAAAATTAGCTGCTCATCACAAAAGTCCCAATCACTTCAATAGTGTTTCCTTTACAATCCATTTTCATGGGCTATAATGAAGAACCCATAAGATCACTAATACCCCCATCTACTGCTCTCACCTGACACTGTGAGGAAAATCCACAGCATTAGGTCATGAGTCTCAGCCTCAGGAGAGTGAAGCAGAGCAGTGCCCACCCAGGCAAGACCTCACTCACCTGTGAATTCCTCCGTGATCACTTCCTCTCCTTTGCCTCTTGATCAGAGGCTGCTGTGAGGACACTGGGGACTACAAAAAACCCCACTCACCTTTTTTTGAAGTTCTGCTATACTGTGGACCAGAGCCTCGTTCTTCCTTTCCTGACAAGAGAAGAAGCACCCTCTGAGGGCATCTGTACACCACCATCCACCTTTCTTCAGTTGATACTTCTCCATTGCACCTCAATGATATTTTCCTGTATCAACTCTGCTGCACAAAGTCAGGTAAAGGACTTGTGGTTTGACTTCAAAGCACACACACTAATGTGCCAGAGATATACAGATGCCCATGTGGGGCTGCCCGATATTAAATATTTCCAAAGAAACCCTGCCCTCCACATGTTCCCTTCCATGCATGGACACATCCTGTTATGGCTTTTTAGTTACCTATTTTTTTTTAAATTTTTTTAAAGGTTTATTTTTATTTTTATACAAGAGCTGGGATACAGGCCAGAGGCATGGGATTGTGAAAGGATTCACGGGAGACAGCTGGGGGCAGAACAGGCAGACAGACCGACATACATTGCTGAGGGGAGCAGGTCTGCCGCGCTGTGTGGGATTCTCCCTGGCCGGCCGGGAATCAAACCTGCACTACAGAGGCTGCAGACAGCTTTACAGTGCTGTGTTCAACCCGCTGCGCCACCAGGGAGGCCCTTTAGTTACCTGTTCTTTGTATGTAAAAGTGAGGGGTGAGCTGTCTGAGAGTTGATGAGGGGCAAGATGAGGAACAAGACGTATTAAGTGACTCTTCCCGGTTTTTCTTGCTTACAAGTTTGGCTGTTTCTTCTTCCAGCTCCTGCAAGGCTTTCTCCCTTTCCATTGTGCTGCAGTTCTCCACCCACTCCTCCTCATCTGCCACGTCTTTGGTCTGCATGATCTCACTTTCTAGTCTGGATGACACAAATACACGCTGTGAGGTATTGGTAGCTTCAGAACTGATAAATACATACAATTGTTTTAATGATACGTCAATGACAGTAAACGCACCTCTCAAGTTGGAAACCCGTGTTTCCTGGATCCTTGGAAACAGAATCATTTTAAAGGTGGGGAAAGTAAGATTCCTTTGATTTGCAAGTCAAACACCTCAATTTTCTTTCAACTCAGGTAAATATCACCCAATTTTTAGGAATCCCAAATTTGATATATTTTAGGGTGTGAGCCACAGAGCAAAGTCGAAGAATAAAGAAGAAACTTACTGCTACACAAGACAGAGTTCTCTAGCGCAAACAGGAAATTCAATTTTCTCTTCTCCACCCATTCCTTTGGACTGTTAACTTCCCTCATGATACCCCAACATTTACCTCTGAATCTCATCTTCTTTCTCATGGATTTTCTGAAGAAGTTCCTGATTTGCTTCATCTATTTTCTGCATATCCCTTTCAAGGTCCATGTTCAAACTGCTAATGTTCTTCTTTGACTGGGCCAATCTTAAGATTTCCACTTTTTCTGACCTATAGACTCAGCCCCCAAAATGAACAAGGGCCAGTTATATCAAGACCAGTAATAATTGCATCAGTGAGGCTATCTAGAGACATTTAATTTATTAACTTGGCTCTTTCTGGGAGCAAACCTTTCCCTTTTCATTTTTAAGAAATTATATTTCTTGATTAGAGAAGAACAAAGACCCCGGGAGACGCGCACACAGCCCGGGCTGCCGGTAAGCCTGCGCGGAAACGCGGCGCGCTCGGGGAACTTGAAAAGCAAGTGCAGACCGGGATCACGGCTGCCCAGGTACCCGCGCCTGCGACCTAGGCTTCCGGGGAGATGACCTAGGCTTGCGGGGAGACGCGCGGAGGTCCTCACTGAGGTGAAGGTCCCTCCCTGAGTGAGCAGGAACCAGGCGCCCAGGCACGGGAGCGGTGCAAAAGGCGCCATTCCTGCGCCACTGAACTGGGCTACAGCCCGCGTCCTGGAACTGAGGGCTTTGAACTGAGACCCGGGGCACGAAAATTCGGGGCGTGGGTTCTCTACGACGGTGGGGCACAAGGCAGACACAGCACCCCAAAGCTGTTGAGGTGTACCCTACCATTCCCGCTCTGTTCCCTGTCCCACTGGGTGGGGGGGGCGAAAAACAGCCCCCCAAGGACAATAGGAGAGATCTCTGGCGCCACCTAGTGACTAAGAAAAAAAAAGTCACTAACACCCCATAGAACAGGATTTCTTAAGACTGCTTGAAAAGGGCAGAAGGCTTCTGCAGTGGCCAGCCGGGAAGTTATTCCACGCCAGGACCCTTCCGACCAGCAGTCTGAGCCCACAGAGGGAGCAGACACCCACGTCCGGGGCAGACCGGGGGAGCAGAAGAGTGTGCCTGAAACCGGAGGCGCAGGGACTGCATCCCGCTTCGCCATTTGAGAACAGGGACATTTCTTCAGTAAAAACTGCCTAAAACCAGCAGAAAGCTCCCCCAGAAGGCAGAGATGGCTCCTGGAAGAGCCAGAGGGGAGCGGAGAAGTTCACCCAAGATGCCAGTCAGTCCGAGCATCACAGTGTCCCAACGCATACGACAAATTAGAAAACAGACAGTAGGGAGTAGAAGAACCACACGCAACCTAACAACTCCTCAGGAAAGAAGCACACCACAAAAAGAAAACCACTCCCCAGATTGCAACGACAGCAACTTGGAAGAACTTCTGAGCCTTCAGAAAGAGAATTTAAAATTGCCATGATTAAAAAAGTGATAGATCAGAAGAAGGAAATTGAGTCCCTAAAGAGGGAAAACAATGGTCAGAAGAATGAAATTGAGTCCCTAAAGAGGGAAGTAAAAGAAATGCAGGAGATCAAAGAATTAATGGAGGAACTAAAGAACTCCGGGAAAAGCAAGGAAAGCAGAATAGATGAAATGGAAGAACGAATAAGTTCTCTTGAAGACACAGAAATAAAAAGAACCAAAACAGAAAAGGAAAGAGAAGTACGAAGGAAAAAGAATGAAGAAAGACTTCGAGAACTATCTGACTCCATGAGGAAAGGAAATATAAGAGTTATAGGAATTCCAGAAGGAGAGGAGAGAGATGTAGGAACAGAGAAAATATTCCAGGAGATAATTGAAGAGAACTTCCCAAATGCGAAGAAGGAGCTGAAAATTGATATACAAGAAGCAAGAAGAACACCAAACTTCCACGACGAAAGGAAAAACACAGCAAGACACATAATAGTAAAGCTCCCAAGAATCCAGGACAAGGAAAAAATAATGAAGCTGACAAGAGGGAAGAAACAGATAACATTCAAAGGAAAACCAATCAGGCTGACATCAGACTTCTCTGAAGAAACACTACGGGCAAGGAGAGAGTGGAGGGACATAGTCAACAGACTCCAAGAAAACAGATGCCAACCAAGAATACTCTATCCCGCAAAGCTCTCCTTCCTCTTTGAAGAAAGAATATGGACTTTCCCAGACAAACAGAAACTCCGGAATTTCATTACGAATAAACCCCCACTCCAAAAAATACTACAAGGAATCCTAAAGCCAGAACCTCAGAGGGACGAATAACAACGAAAGAAGACCAAAAAAAAAAAAAAAGTTATTAAAAGAATAAATAAAATCAAAGGAAAGACAAACATAATGGCAAATACAGATGCTAACATATCAATATTAACTCTAAATGTAAATGGACTAAACTCTTCAATAAAAAGACACAGAGTTACAGCCTGGATTAAGAAACAAAACCCAACCTTTTGCTGTCTCCAGGAAACACATTTAGCTACAAAGGATAAAAATAGGCTCAAAGTCAAAGGATGGAAAACAATCCTACAAGCAAATGGGCCAAAAAAGAAAGCAGGAACAGCTATACTTATATCAGATAAAACAGACTTCAAACTCAAAAAAATAAAAAGAGACCCCAATGGTCACTACATTATGATTAAGGGGACAATACTTAAAGAAGAAATAACACTCATTAACATATACTCACCAAACGAAAGAGCACCAAAATATATCAGACAACTGTTGTCCTCTCTGAAAACAGACATCAGAGAAAACACATACGTAGTGGGAGACTTCAACACACCACTATCAACAATGGATAGATCAACAAGACAAAAAATAAGTAAAGAAACTAAAGCTCTAAATAAGGACCTAGAGCATTTGGGCTTAACAGACATCTATAGAACACTAAACCCCAAAAAAACGGAGTACACATTTTTCTCAAGCGCACACGGATCATTCTCCAGGATCGATCACATTCTGGGGCACAAGACAAACATCAACAGATACACCAAGATTGAAATCATACCAACCATCTTTTCTGACCACGAAGGCATCAAACTAGAAATAAATCATAAAAAGAAGGCAAGGAACTATCCTACCTCATGGAGATTAAAAGCCACACTACTGGAAGACCACTGGACTAATGAGGAGATCAAAGAAGAAATTAAAAAATTCTTTGAATTGAATGACAAGGAGGACACCAATATCCTAAATGTATGGGATGCAGCAAAAGCAGTAATAAGAGGAAAATATATAGCAATAGAAGCTCACATCAAAAAACAAGAAAGAACTCAAAGAAACAACCTAATCTCGAAGCTCAAAGATCTAGAAAAAGAACAACAAAAAAACCCCAAGCCAGTAGAAGAAAAGAAATAATAAAAACCAAAGCAGAAATAAATGAAATTGAAACTAAAAAAACAATCCAAAAGATCAATGAAACCAAGAGCTGGTTCTTTGAAAAAATAAATAAAATAGACAAACCCCTAGCCAGGCTCACAAAGGAAAAAAGGGAGAAAGCACAAATACACAGGATCATAAATGAAAGAGGAGAAATCACAACGGACACAGCAGAAATCAAAAGAATAATCAGTAACTACTATGAACAGTTATATGGAAACAAGTTCAACAATCTAGAGGAGATGGACAAATTCCTACAACTCTACAATCACCCAAAGCTAGATAAAGAAGAAATAGAACACCTAAACAGACCAATTACAAGCAGCGAAATTGAAATGGTAATCAAAAACCTCCCCAAAAACAAAAGCCCAGGACCTGATGGATTTACAAATGAATTCTACCAAACATTCAGAGACGAATTAGTGCCTATCCTTCACAAACTCTTCCAAAAAATTGAGAAGGAAGGGACAATACCAAACACGTTCTATGAAGCCAATATTACACTAATACCAAAACCGAATAAGGACAACACAAAAAAGGAAAACTATAGGCCAATCTCCCTAATGAACACTGATGCAAAAATCCTCAATAAAATTTTAGCTATCAGAATCCAACAATGCATCCATAAGATAATTCACCACGACCAAGTTGGATTCATTCCAGGGGCACAAGGATGGTTTAACATCCGAAAATCAATCAACGTTATCCAACACATCAACAAAAAGAAATATAAAAACCATATGATAATATCAATAGATGCTGAGAAAGCTTTCGACAAAGTGCAACACCCATTCATGATAAAAGCCCTTGAAATTCTTGGGATACAAGGAACATACCTCAACATCATAAAGGCCATCTATGACAAGCCAACAGCCAGTATCATTCTCAATGGTGAAAAGCTGAAAGCAATTCCATTAAGATCTGGAACAAGACAAGGATGTCCACTCTCACCACTGCTTTTCAATATAATACTGGAAGTCCTACCCAGAGCAATAAGACAAGAGAAAGACATCCAAGGAATCCAAATAGGAAAAGAAGAAGTCAAACTATCACTATTTGCAGATGATATGATAATATACATAGAGAACCCCAAAATCTCCACAGAAAAACTAATTCAACTCATCAGTCAGTTCAGTAAAGTGGCAGGATACAAAATCAACACGCAAAAGTCAGTAGCCTTCCTATACACAAACAATAAATCTGAAGAAGAAGAAATCAAAAAAACCACCCCTTTTATTATTGAAACAAAAAAAATCAAATATTTGGGAATAAATCTAACAAAAGAGGTAAAGGACCTATACAAAGAAAACTATAAAACACTGTTAAAAGAAATAGAAGAAGACACAAAGAAATGGAAAGACATCCCCTGCTCATGGATTGGAAGAATAAACATTATTAAAATGGCCATCCTACCAAAAGCAATATACAGATTCAATGCTATTCCAATCAAAATCTCAATGGCATTCTTCAAAGAAATAGAACAATTATTGATGAAATTCATATGGAATCACCAAAAACCCCGAATAGCCAAAGCTCTACTGAAAAAAAAAGAAGGAAATGGAGGCATCACACTCCCAGACTTCAAACTATACTACAAAGCCATAATCATCAAAACTGCATGGTATTGGAACAAGAACAGACATACAGACCAATGGAATCGAATAGAAAATCCAGAAATAAACCCACAGATTTATGGTCAACTAATCTTTGACAAAGGAGCAAAGACTATGCATTGGAGCAAAGAAAGTTTGTTCAATAAATGGTGCTGGGAAAACTGGGTCGCTACATGCAAAAGAATGAAGCTTGACCACTACCTCACACCATACACAAAAATCAACTCAAAATGGATTAAAGAACTAGACATAAGACCTGAAACCATAAAATACATAGAAGGAAATATAGGCGAAACACTACGGGATTTGCACATCAAAGACATCTTTACAGACACATCACCCAAAGCAGTGATAGTGAAGAGAAAGATAAACAGCTGGGACTACATCAAATTAAAGAGCTTCTGCACAGCAAAAGAGACAATAACAAAACAAAGAGAAACCCCACCAACTGGGAGAACATTTTTGCACCCAACACTAATGATAAAGGACTGATCACAAAAATCTGCAAAGAGCTGATGAGACTCAGCAACAACAAAGAAAATAATCCAGTCAAAAAATGGGCAGAAGAGCTAAAAAGAAACTTCTCTGAAGAGGAAATGCAAATGGCCAACAGACATATGAAAAAATGTTCAACATCACTTGCAATCAGGGAAATGCAAATCAAAACTACCATGAGATACCATCTCACACCAGTGAGAATGGCACATATTAAAAAAACTAGCAACAACAAATGTTGGCGAGGATGTGGAGAAAAAGGAACTCTTCTGCACTGTTGGTGGGAGTGCAAACTGGTCCAACCACTATGGAGAGCTGTGTGGAGATTTCTGGACCTACTAAACATAGAGCTTCCATATGATCCAGCAATTCCACTCCTAGGTATTTACCCAAAGGACACAGAAACATCAATTCCAAAGAGCACCTGCACTCCTATGTTTATAGCAGCACTGTTTACAATAGCTAAGCTTTGGAAACAACCCAAATGCCCAAAAGTAGATGACTGGATCAAGAAGATGTGGTACATATATACCATGGAATATTACTCAGCATTCAAAAAAGATAAACACATGCAATTTGCAGCAACATGGATGGCGCTGGAAGGGATCATGCTCAGCGAAATAAGCCAAAAAGAAAAAGAAAAATACCGGATGGTCTCACTCATAGCAGGAATCTAGAAAACTTAAATAAGGGACCAGGAAAATGAATATAAGAAAGTGAAAATCAAAATCAACAAAAAACTATGAACCAGAGACACTTTTTGGGGGGTGGGGGGCGGGAGGGGAAGGATTGGGGTCAGAATGGGGCGTTTGCAATTGTATGGGGGAATATAAAAATAAAATTTAAGATTAAAAAAAAAAAAAAAAAAAAAAAAAAAAAGAAATTATATTTCTTAACCTTGCTTTTCAGTTTTTTTCAATAATTCTCAACTTTGTCAGGATGATCTTTGCCAGGTTTTCTTGTCTGAAATACTCAATACAATAGTATATCCTCACTCTGGTTGCAGGAGAAATTTTTACTTCCTTAAATAGTCTTTTGCCTTGAATAGAATGGTTTCTGTGGCAATCTTTTTTTTTCAGACAGAATAACCATATCATCTGCTCAAGCAATACGTTTCATTGAGCACTTCTATTTAGGCACCTGACACATCACTTAGAGTCGGGCCTGGCATTATACAGAGCCACAAGAAGTACACCAGCACAATAAAGGCTTTGAATGAAGCCCTCCCTGACCTCAAAACTTCTCCATTGTCTGCCACACAATTTCTGAGAATCTACCATGGGAATCACTTGTTTGTGCACACAGAGATTTGATCCAAACATTCACTTTTAGGAATGCAAATATCTTTTTGAAGTAAATTTGAATGAAATAATAGTAACTCTGGAATACTCCAGAAAAAGGTACCTAGCATATGGGAAGCTGTCAATACACTTTTATTATTTTCTTGCATGCTTTTATTTGTCTTTGAAATGATTACCTGAGAAAAACACAGTAAGGCAGAAGGACCTTTTTTTGAGTAGGAATGAGAGATGACTGTGGAGAAGAAAGTCCTACCTTGGAAGTACTGACTTGGTTGGGGGATTTACAATTGTTAGCTCTTTAGGAGGGCATGGAGTGTTTATGGTGGAGTGCAGCTGGGGTTGGGAGTAGGAGGGGACTCTAGGGAGACTGGAAGTTGAGGAAAGGCATCAGGAGCAGACCTGTTTCATTCATACTTTGGTCCCAGGATGTGACTGCAGAGTCACGATTACTTACTCGTAGTCTAGCTGATCTTTGTGATCTTCCATTGTAGGTTCCCTAAAATACCAGTAGAGAAGTGTCTAATGAATTGGGGAAATGGATGTATTTATGAAACACAAAGTAATTAGCCAAGAGTCCCAGAAGACAGGAATAAAATTGAATTAACCAGTTTCCTCCCTCAAATCTCCACATTTTGGTCATGGCAGAATCCAACCCTCTGATTCTTCTGTTCATGATCAATTATGCCTCAGTAAGGATACAGAGCTAATGCTAGAAAATTCAATATAGGTCCTGCTAACAGATACACTCAGAAGGTTCACCAATATGAAACCCTTTTGAAATTTATACAAGGTATTAATAATCAATAGTGGTTATTGATTTTTCTTAAATCCCTTTCTGCTCTAGACCCAGCTGCTTTCTTTAAGGCTCAATGAGCATCGACGTAGGTACATAACTGCCCTGAAAAGCAATCCTAAATGGCCTCTGCAAGAATATCTGGATATTAAGATCTTTAGAATTAAATAAAGCTCAGAAAAGCCAAGTCGAAGTAAATGATTTGTCTTGTTCTGTCCTTTGGTTTCCTCCATTTCTTCAACTCTACCTTCCTTCTGACATGTATGGTCTTCCTGATTCTGCCCTAGTCAATTTGCTTCTGAAGGGTCTAATCTTTTTCCACTGGAGCCATCCAATAGAATCTCAGAACCTTCCAAGGGGTCATGACTCTATTGTTGACATAGGATGGGTGGGGCATCATATCACAGCGGCGTGGATGGCTTCTCATCATTCGTACAGAGTTCCAAGCCTAGATTGGTGGGTGTGTTTCAATGGTTAAATCTCCCCTTTGGTAGCAGGAGGTGAAGCGGACCTGATATCTGAACAGTATGAAGAGACAGTCCCTGATTATCTGGTGGATTGAGCTCCCTTCCTGCCCAGTTGTAATTAATTTGGGAACTCTGAATCACCAGTCTAATTCCATTATGCAGTCAACTAACTACTCATTCATTCGACACCATTGACACCATTGAGACATAGAACACCTATTTATGCCAGGCACCAGCGAGACAGGGCGAAGAAAACAAACCAAAGTCTACGCTCTTATAGAATTTATATCCGGGGATTATGTGTTATAAGGGGGCGAAGGGCCTGCACAAGCTACAAAATAAATAAAATTTACTATATTTGGTGTGATCAATGAGGAACATGCTATGAAGAAACATAAACAGGTGAAGGGAGTAAGAGGAAACGCAGTGTGCACAGTGTGTGTAAGGGATGTTGCTACAGTTTCCAACTGGGTGGTACAGAGAAAGGAGCTGAGCATTCCCAAGCCTTGTAGAGATGTGTTGTTAAGAGGCTGAGTCACAGCAATCAAAAAAGATAAACTGCTGCAATTTGCAGCAACATGGATGGAGCTGGAAGGGATCATACTCAGCGAAATAAGCCAGAAAGAAAAAGAAAACTACCGGATGGTCTCACTCATAGCAGGAATTTAGAAAACCTAAATAAGGGACCAGGAAAAAGACTAACTGCAATAAAGTAAAAATCAAAATCAACAAGCAACTATAAACCAGAGACACACTAAGCAGGGGGGGGGGGGGCAGGGGAGGGGATTTGAGTCAAAATAAGGGGGGTGGGAATTGTATGGGGAATATAACCAAGATGAAAGTGCATACATTGTGCAAAATTGAAAAATGATGTAAAAAAAACCATAAAATAAAATAAAAGGAACTAGAGAGGAAGATAAGATCAGTTACTCCTTATAAAGAAAGAATCTGTTTCTGCATACCTGTGGATGTATATTTTGGGCATATACTACATAATTTGAAGCCGTTTGTGTATGCAAGTCACAGAAACCTGGAAGTTTTGGATCTCAACTTAATAAGGACTGCATTGACTTGATTTGTGAGCCAGAGTGACTTCTTAACATACTGTAGTTTCTAACAAACTATTTGTAAAATTAATGGCCTCTGATGACCCCCATTACCATTCACTTCTTCCTGAAAGAAGGCATTTCATTGCTTTATGAAGCTGTACACAGAAGAGTAATTAAGTAACAATTCAGGCCAATGGCCTTTCCCAGGAATTAATGGTAGGGAGAGTTCATTAACCCTAACTGGTTATAACTTTTCCAGGAAATGCCCTGGACCAAGGTTATCTTAGTTATTAATGGATTGGGTAGGGACTTTAACTGGGATAAAAATAAAGCTCTCTCCTTCCTGGGGAGCTTTTCTCCTTGAGGGGCTACCAAAGGCAAGCCCATAAGGAGCAGCAGAACCCCAAGCTTGGGGCCTTGTGTGGATCAGGACAACAGATTGCCATCAATGAGAATTGTTAAATCAAGGTAAAAACAGGACTTTGGGGGCAAATTAAGATCCTTGACATAAGCCTTTCTGCTCTTCAGGAGGTGGCTTGATTAACACTCAATACAGCTTTAGAGCAGCTATTTTCACCTTGTTAACTTTTCTGTGCCCTCCCTGCCCCATGCAGCTGAGTCACTGAGAGACCTGTCTGATTTTGTTCCATTGCTGCCAGGAATGCATTGGCCTTGATGTGGAAATCTGTTGTGAAAGCACCTGCTGTTTCCCAGGCTGGGCATTCAGGCAGTGTTTGCTGAGTCTTTGCCCTTTGCTGTGAGGGAACTGACCAGGTGTGTGAGTTCCTAACAGAGCTACCAGGACAGCCCTTCCTGCTGGGGAGAGGTAGTTCTGCTCATCTCACTTGTCCTTTCTTCCCTTTGGCAAATTCATTTTGGCTATTTTCATAGAGGAGCTGCCCAGTTTTGAGGCCCAGTGCCAGGCAAGGCTGGAGAATCTTATTTTAGACCATTTTTCTTTGAAAATAGAAATCAAGTATGTTATTTTCCTTAAGTCTTTACTTATTTCTATAAATTTTTAAGCTTCTAAGTTCTCTTTGAATATCCTTTCTGAATAACTTTCAGAATAGAATACTTCTCAAAAGCATAAACTTGAATTAAACTGAAAAGTGAAGAATGAGAGAATGAGAATATATCAGAATCATAGTTAATTTGAATAAAAATTAATATCAAGTGACCTATGACAATTTGCACTGGCATAAGGTTTAAGTATTTCATTTTAAAATTAAACACTTCTGAATTTATTGCATCTTTGCTATTATGTTGCATTAAAAATCTAAAAATACACAAGTTTATCAAGGTTCTCTCTCACCTCGTATCAAAACCCTGTATTGTTTCAAATTTTTCTTCTATTTTTTGTCTACTAACAAATTATCTTTAATAGCTATTGTAGAATAGATATATTATTGTTTTACCTGTTCACTTAATATTTTTTTGAAAATATTTTCCAGCTTGCTATACACTTATAATTATCATTTTGATCACTGCATGAAATTCTAGTTGCTAATATTCATGATTTGCTCACTATACTCTTCTTATCATATATTTTTTGGCCTCCTCTTGGAGGCCTGTTTTAGTGTTCTAGGACTACCATAGCAAAATACCACAGAGGGGGTGGCTTAAACAATGAGAGTTTGTCAATGTTGGGAGATTATAGTTCCTAGACCAAGTGTTGGCAGGGTTCTTCTGAGACCCTTTTCTTTTTTTGAAAATCTGTTCATGATTATCATTCATAGTTATCATTTTGTGTGTCTGTGTCCTAGTCTCTTCTTAGAAGACCACCAATCACATATAGGATTCGGGGCTACCCCCATTTTATTTTTATTTTTTTTGTAAGGTTTATCTATTCATGCATACAAGAACTGGGGTACAGGCCAGAGGTGTATGGGATTGGGGAGATGAGAGGATTCACCAGAGACCGAGGGGGAACAGAACAGACAGATGGACCGACACTGCTGAGGGGAGCAGAAGGTGAGACAGGAGAGGCCTGCTGTGACATGTGGAGCAAACTCGTGCTGTAGTGGCTGAGGATACCTTCACAGTGCTGACACTTAACCCCTTGCACCACCAGGGAGCCCCCAACTACCCCCATTTTAAACGAATTACCTTTTTAAGGACCACATCTCCAACTACAGTCACATTGGAAGACACTAGGGATTAGGATTTTAATACATGAATTTTGGAGGGGGCACACCTCAGTCACATGAGATACTACTCACCAAATGTATAACTGTGACCAAATTTATGAATGCTCAGGTTGTTCCTCTATTCTTTTCCCAAACAAAAGAACTTCAAAGGATGTATTTGTGTAGTAATACTTTTTAGGTATAAGCAAAGCATCAAAAATATGCACTTATATTTTTATCATTTTTGAAAATCTGTTCATTAGCATGTCTACCAATTCCTTTTTTTTTTTATTGTATAGATTATGGATATAAGGACAAAAAGGATTAAATGTCCTGATGGGATTTAAAAAAGATTAAGAATTGTCTATGCTTTACCCTCTCAGCTTAGCATTTTCTGTTTAGTTCTTCTGGAAAGGGGAATATCCTCAATTATAATCAGTTTTATGCAGCAAATTTCCAATACCCTAGATATTTAATAACAAAGTATTTGTTTTCAATAGGTAATTTCTTTTGAGGTAACTGATCCTTGGTCTCTGCTTTAATACCCTTTGCTTTATTTTATAATTGCTTCTCTAGCCTTATTTATTTATTTATTTAACTATTGGTTTTTAATTTTTTTTTAAGATTATTTATGCATGCAAGAACTGCGGTACAGGCCAGAGGTGCGAGGGGTGAGAGGATTCACCAAAGCCAGAGTGGGGAGCAGAACAGGCAGATTGACTGAAATACATTGCTGAGGGGAGCAGCGGGTGAGTCAGGAGAGGTCTGCTGTGCCGTGTGGGTATCTCCCTGGCCAGATATTGAACTCGTGCTGCAGTGGCTGCGGATAGTTTCATAGGTTGTGTCTTAACCCTTACCCCACCAGGGAGGCCCAGCTTCTCTAGCTTTAATTAGAAACATTTGCTATTAGGTTTAGTCAGCTATTGGGGCGATGAGAGGCAGCTGGGCACTGACCTTTACCCTCTTTGTCCCTGGCACATGTTCAGGTCTATCAGCACCTTGGACCAGCAGCCCACCAAGATACAGTCACTGTGCTTGAACTGCTGCCTCATTGGCATCAAGTGCCTCCTGGTCACAAAGATGTTATTCTTCAGAGACATAATTGTGAGCAACTTTTCCTTGGAGCAGTGTGGCTGGAATAACAGATCCAGTCTGCAGGAAGGATCTAGGAGCTGGGAGTATACTTTGACCATCAGGACCCAGGGACATGAACACAGAGGTAATGATGGCTGACTCTGCCACCACAAGGATCCTGGAGCTGGCTTTTGAAATTCCTGCTGTCAGTCAGACAGGCGCTCTGACCAAGAAAGAACTGATCAACTGTGCAAATCTCTGGCCTGGAGCAACATTAGCCCACTTCTTCAGCTAATGAAGAAGCAGTAGCTAAAAGAATGGATGAGTTCATTGTTAAACTGAAAAAACTAAAGCAAGTGGCCTCTTTTCCTCTCACAAAGATCATTGATGATCCCTCAGGATACAACTTTGTGGAAAACCCATATGCTCCCCACAAAAATGATGCCCAGTGCTCACACACTATTACTGGGCTTTATAGTAGAAATAAATACTCGGGCTCCAGACAGAGACACCAGGATAGAAGCCAGATGAGGAAGATCTCAGAAATGAAGTGCTACAATTCAATCTGCTTTGAATGCAGTGCCTTGGCTCAGACTAACATGAAACTAGTTCAAACCCCCCATTTTAAGGAG